TTATGGTTGGGGGGGGCAGGGGTCACCACCACATGAGGAGCTGTATGAAAGGGCTGCAGCACTAGGAAGGCTGAGAACCACTGATGTAGAGGGAGGCTGATACTAGGAATTAGGGAAGTTGAGGGCCTGCTCGGGGAAGAGAGAAATACTGTGAGAGTCTAGTGTGTAGCAGGAGTGACTCCCCTGGCTGTTAACAGGGCCTTTGGGTCTGTGAGTCCCTGAAAGGCACACCCCTTCTGTTGACAGACCTTGGGGGAAAAGGCCCTAGGTGAGATCTCCGTGCCCACAGAGATGGCCGAGAATCTGCTCCAAGTTCTCCGCACTCGTTTTGAGGGCAACATCCTCAGTGACCTGCTCAACTCCCCCATCTACACTAAGTATGCACGGCTGCCTGACGAACCAAGCAGCTCGCCGTCTTCACACACAAGTCACTCATGTGCCTCAGATCCAGAAGAGTTCAAGTCAGAGGCCGACTTCTCCGAAGAGGAGATGGAGCCCCCCAAAGCCAAGGCTGAGTCTCCCGAGGCAGAGGCTGAACCTGCACAGGCCCAAGCTGAACCCCCCATGGCTCAGAGTGATTCGCAACTGTTTAACCAGCTTTTTGTGAGCGAGGGAATGTCTCTGACCCTGGAGATAAAGGAGGCAGCGAGTGGTGAGTAAGGTTCTGGGAGGAGACGTGGGTGAAGAAGCTGGAACAAGTCAGGGTGGAGGGAGGACTGTGGAGTAAGGTCGCTATTGCCTGGGAAAATGCCTGCACATCATGTTTCCATCTTCCTCCCTCTGACCTCGATTGTGCCTAATTAACAGTCACTCCCTTACTTCAGCATCCATGGGCAAGAAGGGTCCATTATTTGCACAGTCTTTGACCAGTAGACCCCCTCATACGCAGTGGGGGAAGTTTATGTTATGGTGCCAGCCATGATAATGTTTAAAGTATCAGTGGGGTAACTGGCTTTGACCTTTTCATATAGACTTCTCACCCCAGAGGTGCCACAATTCTTTGAGCCACTGCCTTTCCCCCACCAATTTCAGAAATGACTAGAGCCCTGCGGAATCCGGGCCCACGGAGTTCCCTGGATCAGCAGGTGGCGGCGGTCATTGCCACTGTGCAGACGTCCAGCTTGGAGACACACCTGCAGCTTTCAGGGCTCTGTGCCCTTTCTCAGGTTGTGGAGGAGGTCACTGAGCGGGACCATCCCTTGGTTCATCCTGACAGATCCCTGAGGTCAGAATGTTGGGGAGGGAAGAGGTTTGGGTTTAAGTTGTCAGTGGCGAGGAAGCGATGGTTGACAGGGAAGGGACTGTGAGGTCAAGATTGAGGAAGGCGAGTGGGGAAAGGCGGGGAAGCTGAGAAATAGCTCAGTAAGAGGCGAGGGCTCTAGGAGGGCTCTCGATGTTGGTGTTTGACATATAGTCTCTCATGAAGTCATCCTCGTTCCTCCTGAGTATTCTGTTGCATTAGCTTGTGTAATTGAGGAAACCAAGGCTGATAGAACTGAGGTAATTTGACCAGAGTTTTACAGTTGACAGAGCCAGGATTCAAACCTAGGTTGTTTGGGCTCTAGAGTGATTTTTTCTTCTCTCTCCTTGTATTAATGTTTTCTTTAGCATTGTTTTACTTGTCTCCTAATTATGTAACAATAAATGAATGTTTTATTTTTAAAAACCTGGAGAACATATAAGAACATAGAAAGAAATGCCTAAGTCCCCCTTCGCCATTGTTATCCGTCGGGTGTGTATCCTTCATTTACGTTTGTAATGGTACATTTGGAAACAGAAAATCCTCTCTGTTTGTTTTAACATATAGGGTCACACTACATGTTTCCACAACTGCTCCTCCCCACTCAGCATGTCTGAAGCATGCAAGTTTTTCCAAACCTAGCCAGGTGTTTCTGAAGGCCATATGCCCAGGTTTGGGACCTGCCAGGTCTTCTCAAGCCTTCACAGTCTAGGCCTCTGAGGGTTGAGCACAGTCTGCCCCACTTCCCCTTCTCTTCCTTCCAGGTCTTCTGGCAGTCAACAGGCCGCACCTACTGGGTGCACTGGCACATGCTGGAGATCCTGGGCCCCGAGGAAGTCGTTGAAGATGCCCCTCCAGCTACTATGGAGAAGCGGGCAGGGGCCCCTGTGTTGGGCACAGGTAAGCGTAGAAGGGGGCACAGGCAGTATGTCTGAATAGAGTAGAGTGACTGGCGGAAGTCACGCATGCCCAGGAGCCACTCCAGACCCAGAAATGGCCTCGATTTGTTGGCGCTGTTGATCCGCCGTGCTTCTTTCCTCAGCATTTCCCTCCTGGGACTGGAAGCCTGCGGATGGGCTCTACTCTCTACCATACCTCCAGCCCGAGCCGCAAAAGATAGAGGAATTGGGGTACCTAACCCAGGCTGAGTGGTGGGAGCTGCTCTTCTTCATCAAGAAGCTGGATGCATGTGAGCAGCAACCAATCTTCCAGAATCTTCGGGAGAACCTGGATGAGGTATAATTAATTATAGGATTGAGATATGGTGGTGGTGGTGAGTTTGCAGAGCAGGGTTTGTAATGGGATTAGAGGTGGCATTCTCTAAAGGGAATTCTAGTCATGGGGCTTTATTTAGGGCAGCGGTTCTCAACCTGTGGGTTGCAACCCCTTTGGGGGTCGAACGACCCCTTTATAGGGGTCTCC